GTACGCGTACGTTAGTTTTTTTGCTCGTGGTAAAACGGAAAGGCGGATACGATTCTCGTAATCCTTACGAGAGGAATTGGCCATTTCTCGAATTATTCTCGAATAAGGAAATCACGTGAATCGTAGGGTTTTAACGGGCTGGGGGGATAATATAGCTTGGATGGAGATCGATCGATCGTTCAAGGACACGGTGGAGCGCTATCCCCTCTCCCCCCACTACCTAAGTTTCGTCTTGAGTTAGGTGTCGTCTCTCTGTTTTATCGACCGATATGTACAGAGTGTACATGTTAAAATTGTATTTAACAATTGTGTCAGTTTCTGATTTAGGATATTTATTTTGGAATAAGGTGGAAATTCGCGAACAAATTATTGATATTTTTATATTTAAGAATATATATATATATATATATATATTTTCACGAGTAGCATAAATAAATATGGATAAAAATCTTCGTTAATCATTTAATTGCGTGAGAATTACGAAGATCCATAGTGGAATTTTTTATTGTTATTACTTCACTATTATTATCCAAAGAATTTTTCTTTAATATCATAGTATACCGTAATTAATCATTGATTTTATTTTATTTTTTTTAGTATTCTTATATATCAATTTTTTAATCCGATACGAAGTATATATAAGTAGATTTATAAAAAGTATTGCAATAAAAATACAAAGTACACAGAAACCTCTCAATATCGTTCAACGTTTATCCCGTTAATACCTCGACGATAATACAATAACATGAAATTATTAAGTATAATCGTAAATAGTCCAGAAAATTAAAAAAAAAAAAAAAAGAAAAAATTCATCTTGTCCCGATTTCATACGCGATGATTCACGATTGGATGAGAAAAGGAGGAATCCCCTTCAACACAGTACAGGGTGGCTCGTTGGAGAGGAACCAGGAAAAACCTCCGCCCGAGACGAGGAAGCGTGCGCGAGTTACGTTGGTTAGAATTGGAATCAGTGAAGGCGCGTTACGCCGCCGATCGTGCGATAACAAGAAATCACGAGCTTCGAAAAGATTTTTAATCGTAGAGGAGAAAGAGTAAAACGGACGTGATGGAAATGATCGAAAGCGAGGCATTTCCGCGTCTCGCCGTTTCTAAACCATTTCCAATGAAACGATGTTTGCTGTCCAAACATTTATACTGTCTTATTTATCCGATAAAATCTACCACTAAGATTTACATTTTAACGAGTTTTCGATTAAAAAGTTTAACGAGACGATTCCAAAAACTAATCGAACATTGATATTTTTCATTTCTTGATGGGAAGATAATTTGATTCTTGGGTAAAATTTAATTTAACGAATTAAATTTGTTGAAATTTAAATGTTTCGAATATTTTTATTCCGATAATAATTGGTCGAAAGAGATATTCGCTCGAGTGGAAATTAAAAGTTGGAAGGCGCACCGTTTTCGGGATCCCTTCCGCCACGGAAAAGAGAACATGGCGGCCTGATTTATCCGTATGGCTCGCACATTTCATCATTCCACTCTCTCTTTCTCTCCGCTCGCATTTATCCTGCCCAGTCGTGATTTAACCGCGTTGAAAGCCAACGATTCCTCGCTTCGATTCCAACAATAACAAAAAAGAACATGGAAAAAATTGATTTCGCGCCTATTTTCAAATGAAACTTTCTTAACTTTTTGGATAAAAGTGTAGATAAATGATGAAAATCGAGAAATTGGCTCTCGCGCTTCCGTGTATTTAAATTTAAATCGATTTTCTGCGTTCATTTTGAATGATATATATATATCCATTGGTGCGTTAAAAATGATAATGAATTCTATTTAACATTACGAAATCTAGGTATTTAATTTTGTTAATTACAGTCTCTTTAAAACATTTTCTACTTTCGAAGATATTTTCGTTCCATTTAAATGTATTAGAAAAATCAAAACTATCAATATTGAAGAATTCCCTTTTTATCCTTCGTATCGTAGAAATATTAAATTTCGTACGTTGAATCGATTATTAATTTTGGAAAAATATTGAATCGACGAGAGGAGCATTTTCTTAAAAATCTCTCGAAAAGATTCTATTCCACTCCTCGTCTCGTAAGATGTAATCTCGTAGGTGATTGTTTTATCAATATTGAATAATTTATAATTAAAAATCTCTGAAGAATTCTTATCGTTATCCTTCGTATCATAGAAATATTAAACTTCGTACGTTGAATCGATTATTAATTTTGGAAAAATATTGAATCGACGAGAGGAGCATTTTCTTAAAAATCTCTCGAAAAGATTCTATTCCACTCCTCGTCTCGTAAGATGTAATCTCGTAGGTGATTGTTTTATCAATATTGAATAATTTATAATTAAAAATCTCTGAAGAATTCTTATCGTTATCCTTCGTATCATAGAAATATTAAACTTCGTACGTTGAATCGATTATTAATTTTGGAAAAATATTGAATCGACGAGAGGAGCATTTTCTTAAAAACCTTTCGAAAAGATTCTATTCCACTCCTCGTCTCATAAAATGTAATCTCGTAGGTGATTGTTTGATCAATATTGAATAATTTATAATTAAGAATCCCTGAAGAATTTCTTTTTTATTCTTCGTATCGAAATATTAAATTTCGTACGTTGAATCGATTATTAATTTTGGAAAAATATTGAATCGACGAGAGGAGCATTTTCTTAAAAACCTTTCGAAAAGATTCTATTCCACTCCTCGTCTCATAAAATGTAATCTCGTAGGTGATTGTTTTATCAATATTGAATAATTTATAATTAAGAATCCCTGAAGAATTTCTTTTTTATTCTTCGTATCGAAATATTAAATTTCGTACGTTGAATCGATTATTAATTTTGGAAAAATATTGAATCGACGAGAGGAGCATTTTCTTAAAAACCTTTCAAAAAGATTCTATTCCACTCCTCGTCTCGTAAGATGTAATCTCGTAGGCGATTGTTTTATCAATATTGGATAATTTATAATTAAAAATCCGTGAAGAATTCTTATCCTTCGTATCGTAGAAATATTAAACTTCGTATGTTAAATCGATTATTAATTTTGGAAAAATATTGAATCGACGAGAGGAGCATTTTCTTAAAAAAGAAAAGAATCCGTGAAGAATTTTCTTCTTATCCTTCGTATTTCGTAGAAATATTAAACTTCGTACGTTAAATCGATTATTAATTTTGGAAAAATATTCGACGAGAGGAGCATTTTCTTAAAAACCTTTCGAAAAGATTCTATTCCACTTTTCGTCTCGTAAGATGTAATCTCGTAGGTGATTGTTTTAACAGTATATAATCTGGGGGAATCCTGCGCAATTTCAAAAAAATGAGTCATATGCGGCAACGTTAAGCCTCTCTTTATCTCGTTTTCCTATTACGCGAGTCGGAAACGTTGTGTTATTGTCATTCCTGTTTGTTTATCGTCATAACTGTGTTCAGATAAGAGGATAATCTTATTTGCCTCGCGCGTTGATCATTAAACAGATTAAAAACTACAAAATCCCACGGTTGGTCCAGGTTGTAAAGCTGGATTCGAGGAAATGATTATCAGTGTTTCGATTCTTGTTCGCAATTAACAAGAATTAATTAAATGCTCCCACGAATAGTATTAAAGTTAGTTAGTTTATTTTAAATAATAGATATATGAGAAAAGTACATTATTCGTATTTTTGATTTCTATTGATACTTTGATTAATTGAAAATCAAGATTAATTATTTATAAAATATCGAAATTAAATATAAATATAAATAATAAAGTATAAAATTATAAAATTAAGATTGTTAAGATTAATATCCATTCCACGATCGAATTTTAAATAAAGTACTTCATTAAATTCTGTTTTTACAAAATTCCACGCCAAACTCTCTTTAAACTCCTCTTCACTTCTAACTCAATGGAATGGAAATTAATTCTATCCCTTTCCAAATTTTCAAAGAAAAAAAAAGAAGAAAAGCTTTTTCAAAACTGTTTCTTTAATTCTTCCATAAAAGAAAGAAAGAAACAAAAAAGAAATTCCGTTACTTAAATTACCGTAAGTGGTCCCATTTACCTATTCACTCGGACAAGATCCACAAGAATCTTCTCACCAGGATCTCATCTAACTTACAAGAATCCCGCTAATTTACGAAAAATCCAGAAACTCGATTTAAACGATCTTTCCTTCCCCTTCTCTCTCTCTTTCTTTCTCCGTTTCAAAACCGGCCAATTTGTTCTGCGACAAGAAAACGGCTTTTTAAACGTCCATGGTCCCACGCCACGAGGATCTGACACCGGACCCGCAAAACGGGTAGCTTACGTGATTACATACGAACGAAGAGGAATAAAAACGCGACACGTGTCTCTTCCGGCAAGGATTTTGTCCTGCTTTTAAATTGATGATGGAAAAAGTGCAAGATTTCCAAGTGGATCGATAATTTTTCCCTTTCTTGAGCTCACAATCGAGAGAAATTTACACGGGGCGATAAACGTGATATTGTCTTGGTTTTTAAAATTGTATCGATATAAGGATAATCTTGAGAAGAAATTGAATATTTCGAGAAATGCGAGGAAACGTGTGAATGAAATATTGTTCGTTCGATATTTTGTTTCAATTGAAAATTAAAAATCTCATTTTGAGTTTGTTTTCTTGCGAATGTGCATTTCTAAATATTGATTCGTAGATAATTAGAAATACTTTATGTTTATTACATTAATCTCCTCCAAAAGGAACATTTAGAATCAGTAAGAGAATAATACCAAGAGATATTAATTAGATTCTATATAAAGTGGTGGCAAGGAGTGAACTCAAAGAAAGAATCATTTGTCCTCACCTTTCCTTATAGATTTAGAATCAATCGAATAATCCCTATATATAAAGGAGCGAAAAAAAGAAAAAAGAAAATCACACGTGTCATTTATCCTCTTAAAAAACCATTTAGAATCAATAAAAGAAATGAAGAGATATTAATCAAATAATCTCTATATATAAAGGAGCCTGAGAGAAAGGAAAGTGTCAAAGAATCACACGCGCATCATTGCATTTATCCTATTCAAAAAAACATTTAAAATTATTAAAAGAACGAAGAGATATTAATCAGATAATCTTTATATATAAAGAACACGCGCCACAAATATCATTTCACTTGCTCTCATCTTTCTTTATTGATTTAGAATCAATCGGATAATCTCTATATATAAAGGAGCGAAAAAAAGAAAAAGAAACACGCGCCATTTATCCTCTTAAAAAATATTTAGAATTATTAAAAGAAGAGAAATTAATCAGATAATCCCTATATATATATAAGGAGCAAACCTGAGAGAAAGGAATCAGTGTTAAAGAATCACAAGCATCATTGCACTTGTCCTCATCTTTCCTTATTGATTTAAAATCAACAAGAGATATTAATCAAATAATCTTTATATATAAAGGAGCGAAAGAAGGAAGAAAAGCATGCACTTGTCCTTATCTTTCCTTATTGATTTAGAATCAATCGGATAATCCCTATATAATAAAGGAGCGAAAAAAGAAAAAAGAATCACACACGCCACAAGCACCATTGCACTTGTCCTCTTAAAGAACATTTAGAATCAATAAAAGAAACGAAGAGATATTAATCCCTATATGTAATAAATATAATCCCTATAATAAATAATCCCTCTATATAAAGGAGCGAAAGAAGAAAAAAGAATCACACGCGCCACAAGCATCATTGCACTTATCCTCACCTTTCCTTATTGATTTAGAATCAATCGGATAATCCCTATATATAAAGGAGCGAAAAAAGAAAAAAGAAAATCACACGTGCCACTTATCCTCTTAAAGAAACAATTAGAATCAATAAAAGAAATGAAGAGATATTAATCAAATAATTTCTATATATAAAGGAAAGAAAGGAAAGTATCAAAGAATCACACGCGCCACAAGCATCATTGCACTTGCCCTCACCTTTCCTTATTGATTTAGAATCAATAACAGATATTAATCAAATAATCCATACATATAAAGGAGCGAAAGAAGGAAGAAGAACCACACGCGCCACTTATCCTCTTAAAGAAACATTTACAGTCAATAAGAGAACGAAGATTAATCGGATAATCCCTATATACAATAAGGAACGAAAGAAGGAAACCAGTATCAAAGAATCACAAGCATCATTGCACTTGTGTCAAAGAAACATTTAGAATCAATAAAAGAAACGAAGAGATATTAATCCCTATATATAATAAATATACATAATCCCTATATAATAAATAATTCCTACATATAAAGGAGCGAAAGAAGGAAGAAGAATCACACGCGCCGCTTATCCTCTTAAAGAAACATTTACAGTCAATAAGAAAACGAAGAGGTATTAATCGGATAATCCCTATGTATAATAAAGCAGGGAAACCAGTGTGAAAGAATCACACGCGCCACAATCGTGTTTCCGGTTGCACTTGACCCCGGTCCTCATCTTTCCTAATCGCCCTTTTCTTCCTTTTCGTCCCTTTTTCGAGCAGGTTCCGGCCAATGGCACCGGCTCGTTCAACACGTGCCGTTCCTTCCTTCGTGCTCGTATGCTCACACTTCACATTTCGTCGCGTTTCCCGCTGTCGCCTTTCTCCTCTTCCAACGAGCTCCTTCTCCTCTCGTGTCCTGCGCGCCTGTCCAACAGAGTGGCGATCGGAGAGGAGAAGGAAACGACGCACCGTGCATGGCAAATCGAAAATGAGGAAATCGGATGGATGGAAAAGATGGCCGATCTGCGCGCAACGAGGGAGGAGGGAATTTGGAAAGGGAAGGAAGGATTTTCGAGGATTTTGGAATCGTAAGGATTCGAAGGCTGTAGGAGGAATTATATGAGATACAAGGAATTGTATTCGAGAATACGGAGGATAGAGGGGAAAAAGAAAAAAGGGAAGAATCGATATTCGACGCAATTGCGTGATAAAGAGATCAAAGGTTGGAAGGTTGGACGAAAGGAGGACAGGTTCGATGGCATGGCCAGGTGAGTCGCAGCTGTTCCCTCCGTCGTTCTCCATCGTTTCTCCTCTTCTCACGGAGACGACGAGAAGGAAATGATGCCCCTCGCATAACAAACCGACCGATGCCCGACCGATTCTTCTTTTCCCTCGAGTTAACGTTGTTACGTGTAACGTTGTTACGCAATGGCCGATCGCGTGGCGTTTCTTGTTGCGTTTCTGGAAACGTCCATCAATTTCCAAATTTCTCTTCATTTGCCAAATCAGATCACTGCACCGATCCATGTATGTTCCTTGATATTTTTATTCAGTCGAAGTTGTGAAGGAAGTCGTGTAGGAGAAAATTATTCTCGTTGGAGGAAATTTGAAGGGTTGAAGCGATCGATGACAAAGATTGAGTTTAGGAGTTAAGAGAATCATTTTTCTTTTTTCTTTCTTTTTGTTCAACATCTGTGCTCAGGGAAATTAAATCTGGTGAGAAAAGAAAGGTTAGATGGATGATAAATTCGACGCTCTATTTCTATCTCTTAAAATGGTCTTTTTTAATGTTTATTTTCAATTCTTCTATATCCTTCACATTACTATTTTAGAAATTTTTCACGATGAAGAATTAATAAGATTGCAACGTAATGGAAAGATAAAGATCAATAGTAGTTTCTTTTTAAACAAGTAGAAAAAAACAAGTATATAAGATAACGCGTAATTAATACAAATAAAAAAAAAAAAAACGATGCGTTGCGCGATACATCTTAAAATGTTTATGAAAAACTCGTCGCAAATTAAATTAAATAATATCGAGCTTAACAAAAAAGACTTCGACGTACGCGATTCGCGATTTCTCCTCTCTTTTTTTCCTCGGTTTAAGATTCCAAGACGGGAATACTCGATTCGAAAAAAAAGGAGGAGGGGAAAGAGAGAGAGAGAGAAATAAAACCTCGATCGAAGCGCATTAAGCTTTCAAGGCGCGGATCGTCTGCGCGAGTCGGAAACTGTGCTTACAAATCTTGCTCCCGATTGACGATGTTCCTTCTTCCCCGTGCTGGCTCTCCCGAGGTGGCTCACGATGGAAGAAGGAAATGACGCCCCGCGCATAACAAAATGACGATACGTCAGCACCGTGGCACCGTTGCTTTCCACGAGCGACGTGTGACACGCATTACGCGACAGATTCCTCGCGGATCTACGTTGAAAAAGAAAAAAAGAAAACCTCTCCTGTTCATAGAATCTCGTCCAATTTCCGATATTTAAAGAAATATATAAACGACAATTTGGAAGTAATTTTCATTCTACTATCAAAAGGAGATGGAGCTGTATAATTATTTTTTCAAATTTTCCCGATATTGTTATTACAAAATTGTTTTTATTTGAAAAAGAAAGGAAGAAGAGGAAGAAAGATGGGGCGAATTTAATTTCGAAGCGGGTATATAAAAATAATAACGAAAGAGAAGGAGAAGGATCTCGTTGGCAACGGTGGAGCGCGAGGAATTCGCTTACTCGAAGCGTACCGATCGATTCGAAACGCGGAGGATCGGAAGCGTGGAGCGGCCGGTT